AGCCTCCTGAGTAGCTGGGACCACGGGCATGCGCCATCATGCCTGGCTAATTTTTGTATTTTTTTTTTTTTTGTAGAGACGTGGTTTCACCATGTTGCCCAGGCTGAACTGCTGCTTCTACTTTTAGGTTTCGCACTGCTCCCTGGAGCCATTTGAGCTCTGGGTAGGGTAAGGGACTTCTCCCAGGGCCTGGATTTTCAGATTCCCTAGTGGGGATGTGGACCCTGGAAGCAGACTGTGTTCCTCTCACACTCTGGGGACTTACACTTTTTTGCCTGCCTCGGGGATGCTTCTTTCAAAGGGTCTGTGGATACTTTTGTTTTTTTCTATTAAGTTCTTGAAAAGAAAATGCACAGTGTCCATCTGTACACACTATTCTGTCCTTCCGAGAAGAAGAGGCATGCTAACGCTGCCTTCAGTCCTCCGTCTTAGAGAAAAACCGTTCTGTCGTCTTCTGCACTCTTTTTCTATGTTGTGTGTGTGCTTTTTTCTAGTTTCTGTAGACTCACCTCCAAATTCGCCGATGCTTTCCGCACAGTTCAGTCTACTGACCGAAAAGAAAAGGTATTTTTTGTATCTGTCAATGCATCTCATTTCTAGCGCTTTCACACGATTTTCTTACAGTTTCCGTCTCTCTGCTGAAGCTGGTCATCTGGTTTGCGCACTGTGCATATTTTCTGTCGGGATTGTAACATATTAATCATAGATATTTTAAGTTCCTTATCTGATAGTTGCAACATTCGCGTCACTTGTGAGCCTGGTTTCACAACTGCGTTCATCTTTATCTTCTTCTGTCTCCCTAAATATCTTTATTTCCCTCTTTTTAAGCTTTGTAATTTGGGGACTGAAAACTGGACAGCTTATGCAGAGCCAAAGACACTGAGATAAGATTTCATGCTGAAAACTGGGACGCCCTCTCTTTTACTGGCCTTTAGTACAGAGGTTTGTGCTTCTCGGAAGCCGGGCTTGGGATTTGATGTTGCTGTGGTGTGATTCTTACTACCCTACGGGCTTTGGGTGTTTTTTTTTGGTTTTTCTTTGAGACACACTTTGGCTCTTGTTGCCCAGGCTGGAGTGCACTGGCATGATCTTGGCTCACTGAAACCTCTACCTTTTGTGTCCAAGTGATTCTCCTGCTTCAGCCTCCTGAGTGGCTGCAATTACAAGCATGTGCCACCGCAACTGGCTAATTTCATAATTTTAGTACAGAAGGGTTTCTCCATGTTGGCCAGGCTGGTCTTGAACTCCTGACTTCATGTGATCCGCCCACCTCGGCCTCCCAAAGTGCTGGGATTACAGATGTGAGTCCCGCCCCTGGCCTACCCTATGGGCTTTGAATGCCTCTGGTGATACCTTGTGTCGAAGGTAGGGGTTAGTTTTTCAGAGGATGTTTTTCTGATGATAATTCCACCCTTAACCTTAAGTCTTCCTTTCGTTCTATGCCTCAGAAAGAGTAAGTCTCTTGCAATATTTCTTGCAAAGAATATGTATCTTGACCGCAGTTATCGGGTGGTGGGGGTAGGTGAGAATACTTTTTTATTTAATGGCTACTCCTAGACAAACACTCTGCCTCTGGGCCCCAGGGGTGTGACCTTCTCTTTCTGTCCTTCTGACACAGTTCTGAATCCATCGTGAATTTCTGCACATCTTCTAGGATTTCAGGCTTTTTGTGTGTGTTCTCTACTTCCACCAGCAACGTGCTTTCACCAGTGCCCTAAGAGAGAGCTTCTGGTCTCTGCACCCACAGAGCAGGCGTTTCATTCTGTAGAGAAGGGTCTCAGGGGAGCTTCTCGCCAGCATTACTGCTGTGGCATCTCCCACTTCTGGACCTTGAGAGAGATCGTTTTCAGGGTTCAATCAATCTCTCACTGAACGTCTGCGTGGGCTCAAGGAGTAAACGTCTTCAAAGAGCTACAGATTATTTTTTTGTTCTACAAAGAAGATACACGCACACTTGTTCATTCTCTCTCTCCCTCCCTCCCTTTCTTTCTTTCCTTCCTTCCCTCCCTCCCTCTTTCTTTCTTTCTTCCCTCCTTCCTTCCTTCTCTCTTCTCTCTTTCCTTCTTTCTCTCATTCTCTTTCTCTCTCTCTCTTTCTTTCGTTTCACTCTTGTTGCCAAGGCTGGAGGGCAACAGCGAGATCTCGGCTCACTGCAACCTCCACCTCTTAGGTTCCAGAGATTCTTCTGCCTCAGTCTCCCAGTAGCTGGCATTACAGGCATGCACCACCACACCTGGATAATTTTGGATTTTTAATAGAGACGGGGCTTCCCCATGTTGGACAGGCTGGTCTCAAACTCTCATCTTGAGCTGACGTGATTCACCTGCCTTGGCCTCCCAAAGTGCTGGGATTACAGGTGTGAGCCACCGTGCCCAGCCTATTTTCCTTTCTTTTTAAATTTGAGACAGAGTCTCACTGTGGTGCCCAGGCTGGAGGGCAGTGGGGTGATCTTGGCTGATGGCAACTTCCACCTCCCGGGTTCAAGCGATTCTCGTGCCTCAGCCTCCTGAGTGACTGGGATTACAGCGTGCGCCACCACACCCAGCTAATGTTTGTATTTTTAGTAGAGACGGGGTTTTGCCATGTCAGCCAGGCTGGTCTCAAAGCCTGACCCTAAGTGATCTGCCCACCTTGGCCTCCTGAAGTGTTGGGATTACGGGTGTGGGCCGCCGTGCCTGGCCTGCATCTGCGTTCACCTCAGCGCTATCCACAATAGCTAAGACATGGAGTCAACCTCGGTGCCCATCAGTGGCAGATTGGATTAAAAAGTGTGGTCTGTATACACTGCGGGATACCGTGCAGCTGGAAAAAAATGAAATATGTCCTTTGCAACAACGCGGCTGCTGCTGGGGCCATTGTCCTAAGTAAATATGGGAACAGAAAACCAAATACTACATGTTCTCACTTCTAAGTGGGGGTAAATGCTGGGTACCCCAGGTATGAGACTCATGCCATAGATGGCAACAGTGAACACTGAGGACTACCAGAGGGTGAGGGAGGGAGAGGTGAGGGAGGAATGTGAGTGATCCCATCACCCAGGTACTGAGGACAGTGGCATGAGCCACCGCGCCCTGCCCTAACTTTGCATTTCTAGAATAAATACCAGTTGTTTTAATCTATTATCTTTTCTACATATAAGTGAATTGTATTTGGTAATGTTTTGTTAAGATTGAAAAAACTCCATGCAGTATGATTTCTTCTAAATGAAATTCCAGAAAAAGTAAAAGTATAGCAACTAAAAAGAGATGAGGGGTGGGGTTACGAATTGACTGAGTAGGGTGAAGAGGGAAAGCTTCGGGAATGTCTGTATAATGTTCTATATAGTGGTCAGATGGTGATTACATTACTGTACACATCTATTAAAACTCATCCAGGCCGGGCGCGGTGGCTCACGCCTGTAATCCCAGCACTTTGGGAGGCCGAGGTGGGTGGATCATGAGGTCAAGAGATCGAGACCATCCTGGTCAACATGGTGAAACCCCGTCTCTACTAAAAATACAAAAAATTAGCTGGGCGTGGTGGCGCGTGCCTGTAGTCCCAGCTACTCAGGAGGCTGAGGCAGGAGAATTGCCTGAACCCAGGAGGTGGAGGGTGCGGTGAGCCGAGATCGTGCCATTGCACTCCAGCCTGGGTAACAAGAGCGAAACTCCGTCTCAAAAAAAAGAAAAAGAGCTGGGGGGTATGCTGAGCTGTCATGGCAAAGTGGTATTTAATGTGCCTATAGGTGTGGAGGGGGTTGTATAATTCCCATTTTTTAAATAAAAGTGCTTAGAAAAAAAAAAATGAATGACCTTTTAACCTTTTAAAAATGATTAGTTGGTAAATTTGTGTCTAATATTGATGGGTTTCTAATTTTCTAGAATGGTGTCATCAGTAGATTTCTTCAATATAACACAAGTCCTCAGAGGGCATATAACAAACTTGAAGTCAAAATCATTTGATTTTTTAAAAATTTCAAATTGATTTTGGTTTCCTCACATAGGCGGAGGGTCTGCAGCTGACAGTCGTTCGACTTAAACTTCTGAGCTTATGATAAGGCTCCTTTTTCCTTTATTTTATAAATCGCATGAGACTTCAATACTTTATTACAACATACGCTTCGTCTTCCTTGATTCTGCCCAACTATAGGCTAATGTAAATGTTCTGGGCATGTTTAAGGCAGGCAAGACTCAGCTACAATGTAGAGTGATGTCAGGTGTATTTAATGCGTTTTTGACTTACATTACGTTCAATTTATGATACGTTTCTTGGGACATAGCCTCATCATAAGTTCAGAAGCATCTGGATTAACTAACGTGTGGAATTTTCTCAATATATTGATTTGCTGGAGCAGAACGAAAGGATGTTAATGTCTTTTACTTTTTTCTTATGGGAGAAATAATTTATGTCAGAGCAATACATTAGAGTTTCTTGAAATAGTTCCTTAGTTCTCTATTTCTTTAATTTTTTTACATTTTTGAGATAGAGTTTCACTCTGTTGCCCAGGCTGGAGTGCAGTGGTGAGATCTCAGCTCACTGCAACCTCTGTTTCCTGGGTTCGCGTGATTTTCGTGCCTCAGCCTCCCAAGTAGCTGGGACTACAGGGGGGCACCAGCATGCCTGGCTTATTATTTTTAGTAGAGATGGGGTTTGGCTATGTTGACCAGGCTGGTCTCGAACTCCTAACCCCAAGCGATCTGCCCATCTCAGCCGCCCAAAGTGCTGGCATTGCAAAGCATAAGCCACTGTGCCTGGCTGCTATTTCTTTTACAATTTTGACACAGCACCTCTTTAAGTGAGCTGAGAGATAGATTCACTTTATTTATAAAAATAATAGCCAAATCCGTGTGTCCGAACATAGACTTCTGTTTTCCCAAATGTACTTAGTATATTTTCACCTTGTCTGAGGTATGATAATCAAATGATAATCAACTCTAATTTCTTTGATATACTATAATCATTTTCTGTTCAAGTGACTTCATTTTCTATTCTAACAAAAACTCTAAACTTTTTTATTAAAGCAAAAAGAAAACAATATTCGTTGTTTAACTACGTCTGGACATTTTGGTTTTGAATGTTTGCCCAACCAGTTGGTGACCAGATCTATCCGACAGGGATTCACTTTTAATATTCTCTGTGTGGGTAAGTGTCAAACGCTTCATTTGAACTGTTCCTTCATTTTTCCCAACGTTCATTTCAACGTATCTTAAGCAGTGTGACGCTGATGCTATTAATTCAAACGTATCTTCATGTGTGCGATGATTTTCGTCTCAGCCATAGTATGTACGTTATTTTTGATACAAGGTCCCACTCTGTTGCCCAGGCTGCAGTGCAATGGTGTCATCATGGCTCACTGTAGCCTCGACCTCCTGGGCTCAAGCAGTCCACCTACCTCAGCTTCCCAAAGTGCTGAGATTACAGGCATGAGCCACCACACTTGACCTGTAATAATTTTTAAATATGGAAACATTTCTGCTCTTAAAAGTCTGATGTAGCTTACTGTATACTGTGTGTTTCTTTTTCTTTGTTTTTTTTTTTTTTTTGAGATGGAGTCTTGCTCTGTCGCCAAGCTGCAATGCAGTGGCATATTCTCTGCTCACTGAAACTTCTGCCTCCTGGGTTCAAGTGATTCTCCTGCTTCAGCCTCCCGAGTAGCTGGAACTACAGGCACATGTCACCATGCCCAGCAAATTTTTGTATTTTTAGCAGAGACGGCGTTTCACCATGTTGGCCAGAATGGTCTCGATCTCTTGACCTTGTGATCCTCCTGCCTTGGCCTCCCAAAGTGCTGGAATTACAGGTGTGAGCCACCGTGCCCAGCCACTTAGTGTATACTTTCTTTCTCCATTACGTTAGTGACTGAGAGAATCAGGGCTGGCATGCACACTTTCAACACTATCTCAATCTTTGAAGTATTGGAGGCCCTTTTTCATTTTTAAAATTAGTAGTATTCCTAATTGAAAAATTATAATGTATGGATACAAGGTGATGTTTTGATATATGTTTACAACGTGGAATGATCCAATCAAGTGAATTAGCTTATCTATTACCTGGCTTACCTGTCATTTTTTTATGGTAAGACATTTGAAATTTACTCTCTTATTTTGAAACGTACAGTACATTAACTACAGCCACAATGCTGTGCAGTAGATCTCAAAACATTTCTCGTCTCTGGTTGAAACTGTTAGTTTGCTAAGGATGACGGCCTCCAGCTCCATCCGTGTTCCTGCAAAGGACATGATCTCGTTCTTTTTCATGGCTATGTAGTATTCCATGGTGTATATGTACCATATTTTGTTCATCCAGTCTATTATTGATGAGCATTTAGGTTGATTCCATGTCTGCTGTTGTGAATAGTGCTGGAATGAGCTCTGTTAGTTTGCTAAGGATGACGGCCTCCAGCTCCATCCGTGTTCCTGCAAAGGACATGATCTCGTTCTTTTTCATGGCTATGTAGTATTCCATGGTGTATATGTACCATATTTTGTTCATCCAGTCTATTATTGATGAGCATTTAGGTTGATTCCATGTCTTTGCTGTTGTGAATAGTGCTGGAATGAGCTCTGTTAGTTTGCTAAGGATGACGGCCTCCAGCTCCATCCGTGTTCCTGCAAAGGACATGATCTCGTTCTTTCTTACGGCTGAGAACATGTGCCAAAGCAGGGGCTAAATGGTGAGAACACATGGACACAAAAAAGGAATAACAGACACTGGTGCTACTTGAAGGAGCAGGTTTGGAGGAAGGAGAGGATCAGACAAAATAACTATTGGGTACTAGGCTTAGCACCTCGATGACGGCATAATCGGTACAACAAATCCTCATGAGGAAAGCTGACCTATATAACAAACCTGCACGTGTACCCCGAAACCTAAAATAAGAGTAAAAAAAAAATACTGTACCTTCTGAGCAAACGTCCTCTCTCCCTCCTCCCCCGGCCTCTGGTAGCCGGGATTCTACTCTCTACTTCTATGAGTTCAACTTTCTAAGAGTTTAAAAACCACCGTAGGGATTCAAAGCGTGGCTTCTTCTTAGCCCCTTTATGCCCCATGACAACTAATCTCTGTCTATTACAGGGGAGACTGGAATTGGAAAATCAACACTGATTGACACGTTGTTTAATACCAACTTGAAAGATAACAAATCCTCACATTTTTACTCCAGTGTGGGGCTTCGAATACAGACATATGAACTTCAGGAAAGCAGTGTTCAGCTGAAACTGACCGTTGTGGAAACGGTGGGCTATGGTGATCAAATGAACAAGGAAGCCAGGTTAGTGTTTTCTTGTTTAAATTAAAACAGATTTCTTATTCTGGGGAATCTGCCTGCCTTTGCCGTACGCTAATTTGTATAAGTAATACCTTTTCTTCCGTATTTTAACATTTTCCTAAGTAATGTTCTTTTCTTACGAGATTAATACTTTTGTATATAACTGATTTTCTTACAAGATCTTTATTTAACCAGTTATAGCAAAAAATTATAGTTTCTATTAGTTTTAGCTTATTTCCTTATTTCTTTATTTCACTTTATTTGTCCAAATTTTCCATACAGGCTGTACTAATTTACATTCTCACCAACAGTGTCTAAGGGTTCCCATTTCTCTGTATCCTTGCCAAATTGTGTTATTTATTTACTTTTATTATTTTTTGAGACAGCGTTTCAGTCCGTCACCCAGGCTGGAGCACAGTGGCACAATCTCAGCTCACTGCGGCTTCTACCTCCCGAGCTCAAGTGATCCTCCCACCTCAGCCTCTTGAGTAACTGAGACTACAGGAGCATGCCACCATGCCTGGCTAATTTTCAAAATTGTTTGTATAGACGGGGTCTTGCTATGTTGCCCAGGCTGGTGTCAAACTGCTGGCCTCAGAGGAGACTCCCACCTTGGCCTTCCAAAGTGCTGGGATTACAGGCATGAAGCACTGTACCTGGCCTGCTTTACTTTTAATCTTTTTAACAATTGCCATTCTGACTGGGGTAAGATGATATCTGATATCTCGTCGTGGTTTTACTTTGCATGTTGGTCTTCTGAAAAATGTCCATTCACGTCCTTCACCCACTTCTTAATGGGATTATTTGTTGTTGTGTATTTGCTTGTGCTATTTCTATAGTCTGGATGCTAGTCCCCTGCTGGATGCACCCAGCTTTCCTCTATGTTTACATTTTACACAACCATAGAGTAGAGTAAAGCATGAGCCTGATTATTGGTTTGGAATTAATATCTTTGTATGGACATGTTATGAACGTTTTCTTCATCACTGTAGCAAACTGCTTTGTATACGTGCGTACATGTTAATTGTTTATTAAGTGGTCAAAAGCAGGCTTTAGATTTTACTAATCCGTTATGTTAAATGTATAAATCATTTTTTTAGCCACCAACCAATAGTCGACTACATAGACGCCCAGTTTGAGGCCTATCTTCACGAAGAGCTGAAGATTCAGCGCTCCTTGTCTGAGTACCACGATTCTCGTGTCCACGTGTGTCTGTACTTCATTTCACCCACGGGACATTCCCTGAAGTCTCTTGATCTGCTAACAATGAAGAACCTTGACAGTAAGGTATGTTTGGTAAATTCACCAAGCTTTCTTTTCTTTTTCTTTTTTCTGTATTTGAGACAGGTCTTCCTCTGTCACCCAGGCTGGACAGCAGTGGTGCAGTCACAGCTCATTGCAACCTCAACCTCCTGGGCTCAAGCGATCTTCCCGTCGAGCCATCTGAGTAACTGGGCCCACGGGAGCATGCCAACAAGCTTGGCTGATTTTCGTATTTTTTGTAGAGATGGGGTTTCACTATGTTGCCCAGACTGAACTCAAACTTCTGGGCTCAGGTGATCCACCCACCTCGCTCTCCCAGAGTGCTGGGATTACAGGCGTGAGCCGTTGTGCCTGGTCCCAACCTTTCATGATGTGATATTAATTTTGAGGCCGGGCGCGGTGGCTCAAGCCGGTAATCCCAGCACTTTGGGAGGCTGAGACGGGTGGATCACGAGGTCAAGAGATCGAGACCATCCTGGTCAACATGGTGAAACCCTGTCTCTACTAAAAATACAAAAAATTAGCCAAGCATGGTGGTGCGTGCCTGTAATCCCAGCTACTCAGGAGGCTGAGGCAGGAGAATTGCCTGAACCCAGGAGGCGGAGGTTGCGGTGAGCCGAGATCATGCCATTGCACTCCAGCCTGGGTAACAAGAGTGAAACTCCATCCCAAAAAACAAACAAAAAAAAAACAAAAAAAAAAAAAGAAAAAGAAAAACTAAGGATGAACCATGAGTCCTCGAGGCTGAGGTTTTGTCTGTCTTCTTTCTTACTAGGTGAACATTATACCACTGATTGCCAAGGCAGACACAGTTTCTAAAAATGATATACAGATGTTTAAGAGGAAGATAATGAGCGAACTGATTAGCAACGGGATCCGCATATATCAGTTCCCAACAGATGATGAAACCACCGCTCAAACGAACTCCTCCGTGAACGTAAGCTTCACTAACAGTATCGGACAGGGGCTAGAAATGAGTCTTTATCCAGAACCTACTGTGAGAAAATGTTTATTTTTTTGATTTTGAAAAAACTTTTGCTGAAAATTGATTCTTTGCAAACAGATTTATTTAGATTTAATTCATACCCCACGTCCCTCAAGGATTTTGGCCTTTAATTTTCTTCTTAGAAGTGTATTTTACTTGCAGGTCTCATAAAATGACTCTGAAGGTGTTACTTGTTTTTTCTATTTTTTCAAAGAATCTGAGGATATATGATATTAAATTTAGTTCGAAAGTTTGATAGAATTTACCCGTGAAGTAATCTGGTCTAGGCTATATTTTGCAGTTTTAAAAAATTACTTCTTTAGTTTCTCTATTCTTCATTCAGTATTGGTAGGTTATTATGTTCCTAATAATTTCCTCATTTCTTCTAAGTTGTCAGATTGGTTGCTGCATAAATGCTCGTAATAGTCCCTTATAATTCTGTTTATTTCTGTAAGACCAGTTGTAATGTCATCTCTTTCATTTTTTATATTATTAACATATTCTCTCTTTTCATTGTTAGTCTAGGTAAGGGCTTTGATTTTGATTTTTTTTTTTCCAAATCAACTCTTGGCTTCATTTATTAATTTTTTTTTGAGACATAGTCTTACTTTGTGTCCCAAGCTGGAGTACAGAGGGACAATCTCTGCTCACTGCAACCTCCATCTCCCGGGTTCAAGAGATTCTCCTGCCTCAGTCTCTGAAGTAGCTGGGATTACAGGAGCGTGCCACCACACCAGGCTAATTTTTGTATTTTTAGTGGAGATGGGGTTTCATCATGTTGGCCAGGCTGGTCTGGAACTCCTGACCTCAAGAGATCCACCCGCCTCAGCCTCCAAAAGTGCTGGGATTACAGGTGTGAGCCACAGGGCCTGGCTGATTAAAATGTTTTTTATTCTCTATTTTATTTATTTATGCTCTAATCTTTGTTATTTTTTCCTCCTGGTAATTATTGGTTTAGGTTTCTTTTTCCTCTTTCTTTTTTTTTTTTTAGGTGTAAAGTTAGGTTGTTGATTTGAGATTTTTTTTTTTTTTTTTTTTATATCGAGTCTCCCTCTGCTGCCCAGGCTGGAGTGCAGTGGTGTGATCTCTGCTCACTGCAACCTCTGCCTCCCAGGTTCAAGCAATCCTCCTGCCTCAACCTCCAGAGTAACTGGGACTACAGATGTGCACCACCACACCCAGCTAACTTCAAAAATATTTTCAGTAGAGATGGGGTTTCTCAATTTTAGCCAGGCTGGTCTTGAACTCCTGACTTCAGAGAATCTGCCCTCCTCGGCCTCCCAAAGTGCTGGGATTACAGGCATGAGCCACTGTGCCTGGCAGAGATCTTTTTTTTTTTAAAAGATGTAGGTGTTTACTAGTATAAACTTCCTTATTTTTTATTTTAGATTCAGAGGGTCTATGTGCATATTTGTCAAATATATATATGGCATAATGTTGAGATTTAGCTTCTAGTGTACAGTATTGCTTATTAATATATTTTATATTGTGTATCCATTAATTACTATAATAGTTGTAGTCATTTTCAGTATTTTTGTCTTTTAACTTTTATACCAGAGTTAAAAGTTATTTGCATGTTATTTCTTCAACATTCAGGGTAAAGATGGTTCAGGGTACAGACAGTGTGAGATACCTGATGTCTATTAAACATCTTTTTTCTTGGCCGGGTGCAGTGGCTCACACCTGTAATTCCAGCACTTTGGGAGGCTGAGGCTGGTGGATCATGAGATCAAGAGATTGAGACCGCCCTGGCCAACATGGTGAAACCCCATATGTACTAAAAATATGAAAATTAGCCAGATGTGGTGGTGCACACCTGCAATCCCAGCTACTTGGGAGGCTGAGGCAGGAGAATCACTTGAACCCTGGAGGAGCAGTTTGCAGTGAGCGGAGATCGTACCATTGCACTCCAGCCCAGACGACGAGAGTGGAAACTTCGTCTCAAAAAAATAAAGAATCTTTTTGCATGTGTTTGTTTCCTGCAGCAGGGTACCTTGGTTTAGGCTCTGCCCAGTAGACGCGTTCCAACTGTGTGCACAGCCTGACATTAATGCTCACAGAAGCCAATTAGCACAGGTTGACTGTCAAGCCTTAAAATGAGACACAGGGTGGATCTCCGTCTAATTAAATTTATTAGAATATCGTCATCTCTGTCTTTTTTTCCTGAGATGGAGTCTCACTCTGACACCCAGGCTGGAGTGCAGTGTCACCATCTCGGCTCACTTCAACCTCCGCCTTCTGCGTCTCCTGCCTCAGTCTCCTGAGTTGCTGGGATTACGGGTGCCTGTCACCATACCTGGCTAATTTTGTATTTTTAGCAGAGATGGGGTTTCACCATGTTGGTCAGGCTGGGCTCAAACCCCTGACCTCATGATCTGCCTACCTTGGCCTTCAAAAGTGCTGGAATTACCATGCCTGGTCCTCTCTGTCATTTTTATAACAAGAGTCATAGTAACGGAGTAAGCTATGCTCTATTACTCTCACTTCTGTTATTAATTTCTATCATTCTTGGTTTCTAGGGACTATTACCCTTTGCTGTGGTTGGCAGTACAGATGTAGTGAAAGTTGGAAAAAGGATGGTCAGAGGCCGTCACTATCCTTGGGGAGTTTTGCAAGGTAACTATGGAAGAGGGCAGGCTTTGCAATGATTAAGTTAAATGTATGTGTCTCATTCATAGTCTCAAAATAATATTTCCACCAGCTACTATTGGTAACTCTTGCTAATCTAAGTTAATAGTTACTAATGAGGAACAAAAACTCTGTTTATGTAAACGAATCACTTCCTGATGACTGTGATTCATTGTCATAGAAGTTTGCTGAATGCCTTAAGCCAAAATCTACAGAGGCTGGGAAGGGCCTCTGCGTTGACCCTAGTGCTCCACGTGCATATTTTCTGTCTCTGTGCAAACCGTAACATTCAGAATGCTGGAAAGCACTTTAAACAAAATGGAAGCAAATATACTAGTGTTTAGACACGTTACATAAACTCATTACTACCTAATATAAGCCGTTTTAAACTGGTCACTAGAAAAAAGAATGATAAACTTCTTAAAACAAGAAAGCACAATTTCCCTTTGGCTAGGGACTCTACCTTTGATATTTCTATTATCATTTACCATCATAATGAGTTAGAATATTGCAGTAATTTATGATCTCATTCATATACTTGTGGTACTAATTATTGTGGGTGGAAGATCTACTTATACTGGTTTCCAAATGATGTTGTTTGTTTTTTGAGACAGAGTTTCGCTCTTGTTGCCCAGGCTAGATGGAGTGCAGTGGCGTGATCTTGGCTCACTGCAACCTCCACCTCCCGGGTTCAAGTGATTCTCCTGCCTCAGCCTCCTGAGTAGCTGGGATTACATGCGCCTGCCACCACGGCTAATTTTTGTATTTTTAGTAGAGACTGGGTCTCACCATAGTAGTCAGGCTAGTCTCAGACTCCTGACCTCAGGTGATCCACCTGCCTCGGTCTCCCAAAGTGTTGGGATTACAGGCGTGAGCCACTGCGCCTAGCCCCAAATGATGTTTTTTAAAAATTGACATATTAGAAAATGTAAAATTTGTTAAACTGCCTAAAACTTAATGTTTTAATATTTACATTATGTTGTGTAACATATTACTATATGTTATAAAATATATATCTATACTATATGTTGACGTATAAAATTTGGTCACAGTATTAATCACAATAAACCGTATATTATGATCAATCCTCTGGACATGATAAAGACAGGAGAGAGCCAGACTAAATATTTTTCATTAATTAGTTAATCTTGGCCGGGCACGGTGGCTCACGCCTGTAATCCCAGCACTTTGGGAGGCCGAGGCGGGAGGATCACGAGGTCAAGAGATCGAGACCATCCTGGTGAAAAAAGTGAAACCCCGTCTCTACTAAAAATACAAAAAATTAGCTGGGCATGGTGGTGCGCTCCTGTAATCCCAGCTACTCAGGAGGCTGAGGCAGGAGAATTGCCTGAACCCAGGAGGCGGAGGTTGCAGTGAGCCGAGATCGCGCCATTGCACTCCAGCCTGGGTAACAAGAGAGAAACTCCGTCTCAAAAAAAAAAAAAAATTAGTTAATCTTAATTGACAAATAAAGTTGTATGTGCTTATCATGTACAGTATGTTTTGAAATAAATATATATCGTGGAATGACTAAATTGATATCATTAACATAGGTGTTATCTCAATTATTTCTGTGATGAAAACAACATCCTAGCAATTTTCGAGAATATAAAATATTGTTATTAACATAGTCACCATGCTGTACAGTAGATCTCTTTAACTTGTTCTTATCCAACTAAAATTTTGTGTCCTTTGACCAGCATCTCTCCTACCATGCCCTCTACCTAACCATGTAACCACCATTCTCTTCTGTTTCTATGAGCTTAATCTTTTTTTTTTTTTTTTGAGATGGAGTCTTGCTCTGCCACCAGGCTGGAGTGCAGTCTCCACTCATGGTACCTCCGCCTCCTGGGTTTAAGTGATTCTCCTGCCTCAGCCTCCCGAGTAGCTGGGACTACAGGTGCACACACTCATACCCGGCTAATTTTTTTGTATTTTTAGTAGAGACGGGGTTTCATCATGTTGGCCAGGATGGTCACAGTTTCCTGACCTCGTGATCCACCTGCCTCAGCCTCCCAAAGTGCTGGGATTACAGGTGTGAGCCACCGCGCCCGGCCAAGTTTAACTTTTAAAGATTTGATGTGTTAGTGAGATCATTTACTATGTCTTTCTGTGCTTGGCTTATTTACCTAGTGTAAATTCCTCCGGTTCCACTCAGATTGTTGCAAATGATAGGATTTCCTCATTTTTAAGACTGAGAAATAGTATTCCATTGCATATATATGCCACCTTTTTTTTTTTTTTTTTAGACGGAGTTTCACTCTTGTTACCCAGGCTGGAGTGCAATGGCACGATCTTGGCTCACCGCAATCTCCGCCTCCTGGGTTCAGGCAATTCTCCTGCCTCAGCCTCCTGAGTAGCTGGGATTACAGGCACGTGCCACTATGCCCAGCTAATTTTTTTGTATTTTTAGTAGAGACGGGGTTTCACCACGTTGACCCAGGATGGTCTCGATCTCTTGACCTCGTGATCCGCTCACCTCGGCCTCCCAAAGTGCTGGGATTACAGGCGTGAGCCGCCTTGCCCGGCCATATGCCACCTTTTCCTTCAGGCATCCATTCGTGGACACTTAGATTGCTTCCGTGTCTTGGCTCTTGTGAGTAATGGTACTGTAGGCATCTCTCCAACACACTGACTTCATTTCTGGGAGGTAGATACCCAGTAGTGAGACTGCTGGATCATATGCTAGTTTTATATTTAATTTTTTGAAGAAACTCCATACTGTTTTCATAACGGCTGCACTCATTTACATTCCCCCAGCGGTGTTTTCATGTCCTCACCAGCACTTGATAGGCATTTTAGCATGGGCGAAGTCACAGCTTATTGTGTTTTTAATTTTTTCTTTTTTGAGATGGAGTTTAGCTTTTGTTGCTCAGGCTGGAGTGCAATGGCAAGATCTTGGCTCACTGAAACCTCCACTTCCCACGTTCAAGCAATTCTCTTGCCTCAGCCTCCTGAGTAGCTGGGATTGTAGGCGTGCACCACCACGCCTGGCTAACTTTCTCGTATTTTTATTAGAGACAGTTTTGCCATGTTGGTCAGGCTAGTCTCGAACTCCTAGCTTCAGGTGATCTGCCTGCCTCGGCCTCCCAAAATGCTAGGATTACAGGCGTGACCCACCACGCTTGGCCTGTGTTTCTTAATTTTTAATTTTCATGGATACATAGTAGGTGTGTATATCTATAGGGAACACAGATCTCTTCACACTGGCACTCAGTGTGTGGTAGTCACATCAGGGTAAACAGAGAATCCATCAGCTCAAGCATCCATCCTTTCTTTGTGTCACAAACAATCCACTTTACTGTTTTAGTTATTCTAAAATGTGTACTAAATTATTGTCGACTGTAGTCACTCTTTTGTGTGCTGTCAAATACTAGATCTTATTCATTCTATGTGACTGTATATTTGTACCCATCAACCACCCACCCTCCTCTCCCGCCCCAATCATTTCCCAGCTTCGGGTAATCAACATTCCACTTTCTATCCCCATGGGTTCAACTGTTTTAATTTTTAGCTCCACAAATGAGTGAGAACATGTGAAGTTTGTCTTTCTGTGTGTTGCTTATTTCACTTAACATAATGTCCTTGGTTCCATTCATGTTGTTGCAAATGACAGGATCTCATTATTTTTTATGGCTGAGTAGTACTCCCTCGTGTATATGTACCACATTTACTTTGTCCATTCATCTGATGATGGATGCTTAGGTTGCTTCCAAATCATGGCTATTGTGACAAACATGGGTGTGGCGCTATCTCTTTGATACACCTACTAGTGGGATTGCTGGATCATATGGTAGTTCCATTTTTAGATTTTTGAGGAGACTCCATACTGTTTTCCATAGTGACTGTGCTGATTGACATTCCTACCAACAGTGTACAAGGGTCCCTTCTTCTCCACATCCTCACCAGCATTTCTTATTGCCTGTCTTTTTGATAAAAGCTTTTCTAACTGGGGTGAGATGACATCTTATTGTAGTTTTATTTGCCTTTCTCTGGTAATCAGTAATGTTAAGCACCTTTTTTTTTCTTTTTTTTTTTTTTGAGACAAAGTCTCACTCTGTCGCCAGGCACCAGGCTGGAGTGTAGTGGCGCCATCTCGGCTCACTGCAACCTCCGCCTCCTGGGTTCAAGCGATTCTCCTGCCTCAGCCTCCCGAGTAGCTGGGACTACAGGTGCACACCACCACGCCCAGCTAATTTTTGTATTTTTAGTAGAGACGGGTTTTCACCATGTTGGCCAAGATGGTCTTCATCTCTTGACTCGTGATCCGCCTGCCTCGGCCTCCCAAAGTGCTGGGATCACAGGCGTGAGCCACCGCACCTGCCCAGCACCTTTTTCATTTGCCTGTTTGCCATTTAAAAAACCCACAATAAGCAGTTACTTTACACATGTTAAAACGACTATTATTAATATGGCAAAAGAAGACGTTTGTATGTCTTCTTTGGAGAAATGTCTATTCAGATCTTTTGCCCGTTTTAGATCGGATTATTAGATTTTTTCCTACTGAGTGAACTTCTTACACACACGCTGGCTATTACTCTCTTGTCAGGTAGTTTGCAAATGTCTTCTCGTGTAGTTGTCTCTTCACTTTGCTGTTTCCTTCGATGTGCAGCAGCTTTTTAACTGCAGAGGACCCCATTTGTCTGTTTTTGCTTTGGTTGCCTGTCTCGTGGGGCATTACTCAGTAAATGTCATGAAGAGTTTCCCCCATGTTTTTTTGTGATAGTTTCATAGTTTGAGGTCGTGCATTTAAATCTTTAATCTATTTTGATTTGAGTTTGTGGTGAGAGACAAAAGTCTAGTTTCTTTCTTCTGCATGTGGATATCCAGTTTTCCCAACACCATTGATTGAAGAGCTTATCCTTTCCCCAAAGGAAATTGTCAAACTACTTTTCACGGCGGCTGAAGTAACTTATACTCCCACCAGCGGTGTATATACGTTCCCAAGAGAAAGAGAATTCTTAAACATCCCTGGTGGGAATTTAAGTTGGTACAGCCATTTTGGGAAATAATATGAACCTCAAAAACTAAAAATAGTATTACCGTGTGATCCAGCAATGCCACTTCTGGGTATGTACCCCGGTGGAATGATTTATTGATTGATTTTGAATATTGACTGATGCTGTCTCTAAATATAATATATAAATGGAATTTCATAACGAAAGTATTTGCCAAAATTGATCTGCCAAAAGACGTCTGCTCTCACAGTTTTATTTCAATCTTTTAAAATATATTAAGACTTATTTTGTGGCCTGACATATAATCTACCCTGAAGAATGTCTTGTGTTTATTTGAGAAAGATGTATATTATATTGCTGTTGGATGAAATATCCCACATATGTCCATTAGGTCTATTTGCTCTAGAGTGTAGTTTAAATCTGACATTTTCTCACTGATTTTCCTTCTGGATAATCTCTCCATTTCTGAAAGTAGGGTATGTAATTCCCTTGCTATCATTGTCCTACAGTCTGTCTCCCCCTAAGGTCTACTATTATTTGCCTTATCTATTCAGAAGCTCTGATATTGGGTCCATACATAATATTTACAGTTTTTTAAAAAATGAACAGATCTCTTCATCGTGATACGATGACCTTCTTTATATCATTTTACAGGTTTTGACTGAAAGTCCATCTTCTGTGATAGGAGTATAGCTCTCTGTGCTCTTTTAGGGTCCAATTGCATGAAATATCTTTCCATGGCTTCACTTTCAGTCTACATGTATCATTAAAACAGCTTTGTCAATTTATTGATTGATTTTGAATATTGACTAATGCTGTCTCTAAATATAATATATAAATGGAATTTCATAACGAAAGCATTTGCCATTGTAAGGCATTTTTGCTAGCAGAATTTCCTGTGATAAAATTTACACTAGTGATGTTATATTATATATTCTGTTATCACTCCACAATACCCAGAGGGTAGTTTGTAACATACTAACACAATCGTTCATAAAAACCTATGGCATATATGCATACAACATATTATTTCGCTATTTTCTGCTTATTTTGAGTCTTTTTTTTTTTTTTTTTGAGACGGAGTTTCGCTCTTGTCACCCAGGCTGGAGTGCAATGGCGCGATCTTGGCTCACCGCAACCTCCGCCTCCTGGGTTCAGGCAATTCTCCTGCCTCAACCTCCTGAATAGCTGGGATTACAGGCACACGACACCATGCCCAGCTAATTTTTTGTATTTTTCGTAGAGACGGGGTTTCACCTTGTTCACCAGGATGGTCTCGATCTCTTGACCTCATGATCCACCTGCCTCGGCCTCCCAAAGTGCTGGGATGACAGGCGTGAGCCACCGCGCCCGGCCCATACTAACACAATCGTTAATAAAAACCTATAGCATATATGCATACAACATATTATTTTGCTATTTTCTGCTTATTCTTCAGGTAGTAAGTTTAAAGCAAATTTGCTCACCTATAATCTCTGCCTATAGTTGGTATGTATTATACAACCATATTTACGTAGTTAAAAGAGTTATAGCTATTAATCAAATTGATCAATTGTGTGCTATTTTAAATGTGTTTTTATTCATGTATTCATTCATGAATACTTACTGATTGTGAGGGATTGATAATGACTGGTGTTGATTCATTATTTTTTAATTACTAGTGGAAAACGAAAATCACTGTGACTTCATTAAGCTCCGAGATATGCTTCTTTGTACCAATATGGAAAACCTAAAAGAAAAAACCCACACTCAGCACTATGAATGTTATAGGTACCAAAAACTGCAGAAAATGGGCTTTACAGATGTGGGCCCAGACAACCAGCCAGTTAGGTGAGTAAAAATATTGCTTGCTCTGGCAAGTACTGGAGCACCCCTACCCCCCCAAAAAAAGAAAAAAAATATACTGCCAGCCCAACCAAATGGATAATTTAGGAGTTCCCTAAACACAGGTAAAATAATTTGAGTAAGAGAATAATCATTCTCCTTCCATCCTGAACCATGTTGAATGTGAGGTGTTTTTATCGTCTTTTGATGAAGATAGAGATAGTATGAAGAACGTGCTGCGGGACCTCTTATGAAAGAACGGATAAAGAAAAAGATGAAAAACTGTTAGCCAAGTTTGACAAAAGATACTAAGAAGGGTTTCATGGGGAAAGCAGCTGAAAAACAGTACTACAGTGTCCTGGAAGTTACATGAGAAAACTTTGAGAGCATGTGTGTTTCTCTGTCTTGAAGAATAGAGCCTGGCACAGTGGCTCCCACCTGTAATCCCCGCACTTTGGGAGGTGGGCAGATCACCTGAGGTCAACAGTTTAAGACCAGCCTGGCCAACATGGCAAAACCCGTCCCTAATAATACAAAAATAATTAGGCGGGCATGCTGGTGGGGACCTGTAATCCCAGCTACTCAGGAGGCTGAGGCAGGAGAATCGCTTGAACCTGGGTGTTGGAGGTTGCAGTGAGCCGAGATTGTGCCACTGCACTCCAGCCTGGGCGACAAAGCTAGACCCCATCTCAAAAGAACAAAACAAAACAAAACAAAAATAATAAAAAAAGAAAAAGAAAAAGGACTTGTGTCACTATTATATACACTATGTCACTACAGTGTTTATAATCCAGCTATATCAATTGTTCTCTGCAGACCCAAAATTTAACTATCGTAAATGAATGATAATGATATTTTGAGAGACTCTTTGCTTTATTTTAGATGATTTTGAAAATCGTCTCTCATCTGAATTTTGACAATGTTTCCCTGAATTTGATTGTCAAAAGATGTGAAGAAATACATGATGTGCTGGAAAATGTGGGGATAAGAATTCACTCACATAAGTGTGGGAACGTTCTTTACATATACTCTCTGTATACTCTGAGCTCAAATACCGCGCCTCAGTTTTTACATCGTATGATAAGGAAATTTCCATCTGCTAAACATGAGACCCCGTTGGCAAATCTCCTTATATAAGATGTAACATACAACATACATTTTTACATGTTTCTGCTAGCATTCACTTTATTTTATCTTTCGAGATGGTGTCTTGCTCTGTCTCCCAGGCTGGAGTGCAGTGGTGCAATTCTGGCTCACTGAAACCTCCATCTCCCGGGTTCAAGCGATTCTTCTACTTCATTTTAATACAAGACTAAGAAAACGTTTCTCTTTAGTTTTCAAGAAATCTTTCAAGCCAAAAGACAGGAGTTCTATGATCAATGTCAGAGGGAAGAAGAAGAGCTGAAACAGAAATTTGTGCAGCAAGTCAAGGAGAAAGAAGCAACATTTAAAGCAGCTGAAAAAGAGGTCAGTACTGACAGTTCGATATGATTTGTATTCATTTTTAGGTGCCCTATTAATCTGGGGGTTTTAATCTCAAGAGTTCAGTTGACGTTTTTGGAGGATACTTACTAGTTTTCAAAAAGTAGTTTTTTACATGTAGATTTGAAAATAGCCTTGACAAAATCAGTCTGCAGTTTTTTTTTTCCTAGAGCAGTTGGAAAATTTTCCCTTTAAATAACCCTTAAGTGAATTTCATAAAAATGTATTTATTTTATTTATAAAATAATTTTTTATGCATAAAGTTTAATTTGTGACAAACCCAAGCTATTTACATCTGAGAAGAGTCTCGTACTATCTAACGCTATTAATGCACTAGACAATTGTCTTCACTTTTATAAGCAAGCAAATTGTTCACTAATGCTCGCCTTAATTAATGAGAAAATTTTAAGTTGGTAAATTATGTATTATTTATTCCATGTCATTTCTAGTAAAATGGAAAAGAAGGCTATTAATATAATTTTAATTATTTGCCACAGATATGTTTTTGGTGAAAACATACTTTTAAAACCGTAATTTCTTTCTCTCAAGGGTAGGTGGCTTTAGTTGAAGAATATTTGGTTTTATTAGATAAATTGGAACATAAACTTGCTTTTTCATAAAAACAAAGTGGTGATTAGGTGCTACAGGCCAGATGTCTCACTCAGAGACAGTTGAATTATAAGTAATAAAAATTCTGGCCAAGCTCGGGGACTCAAGGCTATAATCCCAGCACTTCAACAGGCTGAGGAGGGTGGATCACCTAAGGTCAGGAGTTCAAGACTAGCCTGGCCACCATAGTGAAACCTGTCTCAACAGAAAATAGAAAAATTGGCAGGGCTTGGTGGTGCACACCTGTAATCCCCGCTACTCAGTAGGCAGAGGTTGCAGTGAGCCGAGATTGGGCAACTGCCCTCCAGCCTGGGTGACAGTGAGATCCATCTCAAAAAACAAAAAAAAAAAAAGCAAAAAAAAAAAAATGTCATTAGCTTGGGTATAAATGGAAAGTTTGGATGTATACCAGGGTATGTCGTGGCATCCAAGAACGAGAGGCATAGCTGGGTCTCATGAAGACTTAAACTGAGACTAGGAAGTGGCCAGAAACCAGAGCAGCCATTTAAATTTTCTCTCTCTCCCGCACCCTGCTTCCCTTAGTTATGAACCTTATTCTTGTACGTCTGCTTCTTTTTTTTCTTTCTGGAGATGAGTTTCTTTTCCATATCTCAACTATGTGTTCTCTTTGTGTTGATTACATATCTTCATGATTGTCAACTAATGCTGCAATGAGCATGAGAGTGTAGATTTCTCTTTGACAATCTGATTTTATTTCCTTTGAATATGTAACTATTAGTGGGGTTGCTGAACCATATGGTTATTCTATTTTCAATTGTTTAATGAATTCCCAGATTTTTAAAAATAATATCTGTCCTAATTTATATTTTTATCAAGATTTCATAAAATCATTCTTGCACACACTTATCTTTCTTTTTTTTTTTTTTGGTAATAGCCATTGTGACAGATATGAGGTATTATCTAATTGTGGCTGTAATTGGCATTTATCTGATGATTAATGATGCTGAGTATTTTTTATACCCCTATTTGCCTTTCATGTCTTCTTTAAAAAAAATGTGCAGGTTCAGCCAGGCACAGTGACTCACTCCTGTAATCCCAGCACTTTGGGAGGCTGAGGTGGGTGGATCATTTGAGGTCAGGAGTTCGAGACCAGCCTGACCAACATGGTGAAACCCAGTCTCTATTAAAAATACAAAAAAGTAGCTGGATGTGGTGGTGCACACCTGTAGTCCCAGTTAATCTGGAGGCTGAGGCAGGAGAATCGCTTGTACCTGGGAGGTGGACTCCATCTTAAAAAAAAAAAGGTTAAGTTCTTTGCCGATTTTCGGAATGAGGTTGTGTTCATACTATTGAAATATTTGAGTTCTTATATATTTGGGCATAACCCCCTTATCAGATGTATGGTTCACAAATATTTTCTCACATTTCCTAATTAGTTTCTTTACTCTGTTGATTTTTTTTCCTTTAGATGTGCAGGAGCTTTTTAGCTTGATAAAATTTTAATTGTCCGTGTTTGCCCATGTTGTCTGCACTTTGGAGTTTGTATTCAAAAAATCATTCCTCAGACCCAAGTAAAGAAACTTATCCCTACCTTTTTTTTCTTTTTTGAGACAAAGTCTTACCCTGTCACCCAGGCTGGAGTGCAATGACTCCATCTTGACTGACTGCAACCACCACCTCCCGGGTTCAAACGATTCTCCTGTCTCGGCCTCCTGAGTAGTTGAGATCACAAGTGCCCGCCACCATGCCCAGCTAATTTTTGTATTTTTAGTAGAGACAGGTTTCACCATGTTGGCCAGGCTGGTCTCGAACTCCTGACCTTGTAACCCATCTGCCTCTACCTCCCAAAGTGTTGGGATGACAGGCGTGAGCCACCACACCCAGCCCAAAACCCAGGTCTTAGCGTCTCATTTAAAAATGTTCACTCTTGGCCGGGCACGGTGGCTCAAGCCTGTAATCCCAGAACTTTGGGAGGCCAAGGCGGGTGGATCACAAGGTCAAGAGATCGAGACCATCCTGGTCAACATGGTGAAACTCCGTCTCTACTAAAATACAAAAAATTAGCTGGGCATGGTGGCACATGCCTGTAATCCCAGCTACTCAGGAGGCTGAGGCAGGAGAATTGCCTGAACCCAGGAGGCGGAGGTTGAGGTGAGCCGAGATCACACCATTGCACTCCAGCCTGGGTAACAAGCATGAAACTCCGTCTCAAAAAAAAAAAAAGTTCACTCTTGCCGGGCACAGTGCCTCACTCTCGTAATCCCAGCACTTTGGGAGGCCAAGGCAAGCGGATCACCTGAGGCCAGGAGTTTGAGACCAGCCCAGCCAACATGTGAAATCCTGTCTCTACGAAAAATACAAAAATTAGCTGGACATGGTGGCAGGCACCTGCAATCCCAGCTACTCGGGAGGCTGAGACAGGAGAACTGCTTGAACACAATAGGCAGAGGTTGCGGTGAGCCAAGATCGCACCACGGTGCTCTCACCTGGGCAACAGAGCGAGACTCTGTCTCAAAAAAAAAAAAAAAAAAAAAAAACGAAAAAGAAAAAGACGTGGGTTTGAATTTTAGTTTCGTCACTTGCTAGTTCTGTGGGCAGATACATAATCTCTTTGGGTCTCCATTTTCCTGTTCTGGATATGGTACTGGGGTACAGTATCAACTTCGAAGGGATAGCAATGACATACAGTAGTTGTTGTTATTCCCCTCATATGATCATGCCACATTTACACACCTGTTAGAATAGAAAGAATTATCTAAAGTAGGCCAGGCACAATGGCCCACGCCTGTAATTCCGACACTTTGGAAGGCCAAGGCAGGTGGATCACTTAAGGTCAGGGGTTCAAAAGCAGCCTAGCCAACATGGCGAAACCCTGTCCCTACTAAAAATATAAAAATTAGCTGGGCATGAGGATGTGGACTCATAATTCCAGCTACTCAGGAGGCTGAGGCAGGAGTATCGCTTGAACATGGGAAGCAGAGGTTGCAGTGAGCCAAGATCATGCCATTAGATGGGAGTCCAGAGCAAGACTCCATCTAGAAAACAAAACAAAGCAAACAAAGGAATTATTTAAAGTAGTAGACTCCTTCATTCTATTCAAAGTTTTCTCCTTGGGTGTCAATATTTGCATTTCTTAACTGATACTGCTACATAAAATGAGAAGATGGATTGGTTCGTGAAGGTGGCATTTCCCATGACAGTCACCAAATGACTTCCTTTAGATCAGCAATCAGGTTCTAAGCCTGGGCATGGTGGTTCACACTTGCGATCCCAACACTTCCGGCAGCCAAGATGGGAGGATTCCTTGAAGCCAGACTGGACAACATAGCAAGACCCCATCTCTACAAACAATAACAATTTAAAAATTAGTCAAGTGTGGTGGCAAACACCTATAGTTTGCCAGATGTTTGGGAGGCTGAGGTGGGAGAATCGATTGAGTGCAGCAATGTGAGGCTACAGTGAGCTATGATTACGCCGCTGCGCTCCAGCCTGGGTGACGGAATGAGGTCTGACTCAAAAAAAAGAAAAAAAATATTTTTCTAGGAAATTTATCATTTCAAAGCCTTCTTTGCTTACTTTACCAAGGCACTGCTTGATCAGATGCTTTTTATTTTTATTTATTTATTTATTTTTGAGACGGAGTTTCGCTCTTGTTACCCAGGCTGGAGTGCAATGGTGCGATCTCGGCTCACCGCAACCTCCGCCTCCTGGGTTCAGGCAGTTCTCCTGCCTCAGCCTCCCGAGTAGCTGGGATTACAGGCACACACACACCCGGCTAATTTTTGGTATTTTTAGTAGAGACGGGGTTTCACCATGTTGACCAGGATGGTCTCGATCTCTCGACCTCGTGATCCACCCGCCTCGGCCTCCCAAAGTGCTGGAAGCACAGAGTTTCTAATCCTCAGCACTATTGACGTTTTCGCTCAATGTTTCGTCGTTCGTGTCTTAAGCACCGCGTGTGTAGAAGCATCTCTGGTGTCTGCTTGCCAGGTGCCAATAACATCGCTTTGCAAAAGTCGCAGCAACCAAAAATGTCTCCACATATTGTCAGATGTTCCCTGGGGCTGGTGGGCAAAATTGCCCCTGATTGACAACCACGGCCCTGAAGGAAGGGTAGGGGCATGAAACGAGAGCGTGTCGCCGGCTGGTTATGCCCTTATTTCACCACCAGAGGTCTCCCTAGACCACATCATGGGTCTAACCTGGCCCATCCAGGGCTCTGGCCGCCAACCAGAGAGATTGTTACGACGTGGCGGACGGTGACAGCAGGTTTTGCACCCTAACGCAGTTGCAGTGGATCAGTCTCCCACGCAGAAGTCTGAATAAATTCGGTAACTACTGTTCTGCAAAGGAGGGGAGCATAACTCCTCACTCCTTAAGCGTAAGCTGTGCCTGCCGACTTCTGCCCGAAGAAT